CCCGCCCATTTAGGGTGTACCTGCCACAGTTAGTCTGGCGACTCCTTACTAACCTTAGTCCCTTTTTTCCCCATCTTTAAGCTGCTCCGGAAGCGAATTATGAACATTTTTCTGCGGAACCCCAAACTTTCGGCGAGTGCCCCGCCCACTGTGGGCGGGGCTTCCCATAGGTCAAGTGTGCTTTTTATTTCTTGTCCCATGCCCTACCATCCCCACCTTGACTGGACCTCTCCAAGTCGTTCTTCAGGTCGAACCGAATTTCCGGACAGACAAACTTACAAACTTACAAACAAACAAACAGACAAAGCGAATTATATATATGGGGTGATCATAGCAGCTTCAGACCACGAAACCGTAAGCATTATCTTAATTTTTGTGCGGCTTCAGCTTTGGTGATGTCATGGAGCTTCTTCTCTGTACAGTCACCGGGTAGATCGTCGCCTTTACCATAGACTATCCACTGCCACAATCCGTTCGAGAAGCGGATCATTCAAATGGCTCAGGAGGTGGGCCAATGACAGCAGTTTTCCGGCTCCTGGTCATTTCATGCGGAACTCACTTGTCAAGCTGCTTGGTCTTACGAATTTGCTTCAAATGGCGTACAAAAGTTGTGCGATAGACGTTGAGCTCCTTGGCAATGTCTCGCATGGTTTTGTGCGGACCAGCTTCGACTGGTTATTCCAGTATCGTGGTCAAGTGCTGGTAGACGGCTGTAATGTGGTTGGTCTTCGAGGCTGGTGTTCCCGGCACAAATGTTTTAACCAGCGTTGTAGTCGGCATTCGTTGACATTTCTCTGGCCCCATGCATCGTAATACTTTGAGAGGTATGAGCGGCAGGCTGGCCCATTTTGAACTGGTAGCAGTGAATTAGTTGCAAATCGCGACTAGACATCTAAAATAAAAACCAAATTATCTTCAATGAGCGGTTTGAATGAAACTTCACAACGGATTCAGAGAGCGCATAGAATGAGCTTTCCAACAATGGTAGCATGTATATTTGGTGAAAAAGAATCGTAGTTTCTTGAAAACAAAAACGTTTTGGAAGTGTTGAGGAGAGAAAACCTGAAAACCATTCTCTTTTGCACCATCCTAATAGTATAATCGTTACTACACTTTGGGGATGGACGTCGGAGCTCCTTTGGTTTTTCTTTACCACTTTGCTCGTTTATGAAAAAAAAAACTTGGCAGACATCTTTGTTGGTCGACTAAGGAGAAAAAAGTAGCCGATGATTTACGTTTAACGATCCATTGCTTTGCATCTTTTTATAGCGAAAGGCCGGCATTTGCATCGGCTGCAAAATCTGTGTACTTTTATCTGTCGCACGGATGAAAACAGCATTGTATTTCAATCGTATCAGGGGAATGGTATGCAAAGGTTCACGAGAATACCTTTTGTTTTGAGCTCCAACTTTGTACGGTTCCATGACGTCACAATTCACGTAATTATTGTATTGGAGGGAAAATATCTTCTGACAAGCCATAAAGTTCTATGTTCTGTGGTTTCGCTGTATTTGTGCAGTCTTGACTCAAGAAAAAGACGATCACTAGAGGCTGAACACAAAAATAAAGCAGTATACGCTAAAATTCGATTAAGTGACATTACAAATTACAACGGGCTTTCAACTCTCCATTTCACCAAGCGTGTTCGCGTCTATTCAATATCATTTTTCATGGATTGCTATGAACGTCTCACAGAAACGTCCCGATCCCAGGACCTGGAACAAATTCCCATCGGTTCTAATTCTGAGTTTTTTCGTTGCTTCTCGATGGGCGTGCTTTGATATTACTACGATAACTCTTCGGTGCCGCACCATTTGTGTATGTGTACTGCTATGTGTTCTCATAGTCTACATTTTAAAAATGTTTTCCCTACCGTAATCTCGTTCAGTGAGGGAATTTATCCTAATTGAAGATAGAAAAGGGTTACCAGGGATAAAGTTTTCTTTGAATCAATCCCTTGTTGGGATGTGGCACGTATCCTACTTCCATTCAGAATCCTTTACTTTACTTTACTTTATTAGTATCGGCAATAAGATAAACAGTGAAAAACAAGATATGCTAAGGAGAGGAAATAGATGCCGATAACTGCATCGAGAGCAAGGGGAAGTGGTTTGGGGTGCGACAGGGGGGTTTGGGGTGCGACAGGGGAGATTTTGCAACTCAGAAGGACAGTGGCCGCCCAACACTGTAAGTTCGATGGCGGACGTAATTCGAACTCCGGATACCATCTTAGTAGGTCCGCCAACCTCGCTGCGGGCCTGTTCCCATTGTCGCTTGAGCAGGGAAGGGGGGATAACACAATAAGAAAAACAAAACTCGCAAACTCATAATGAGGCTAAAAAAGAAAAAGCTATGATAAAAAGAAACAGCCGTGACAAAAGCTGACGCTAAGATGCGAATGACACCAAGACAAAACACTACACTGTAAGTCAGTCATGGAGGGAGACATCACGAATCAAGATAGACGAGAAAAACATGAGGGAGGACCCGGAAGGAGGGGGGGGGGAGACCAGTCTACATTGCTGCATAACAAACAGTATGAGGGATCCTAGTGGCTGCTGAATGCACTATGCTATGACTTACGTAGCCAGCCGATGTAAAGTCAGTGTTTTTACTCTCCCAGACAAAACTTGCACCATGTTACCATCCCCGGAGGGCAGAAAGCTTCGTTGGTCTGGATGGGAGCTGATTCAGGATTCGACCCCAGACCCCGTGCGCTGTATAAGCGTGATAACATTAGAACTAACTTGTGATAACATAAAAGTCGCTGAAATGGAAATCTGCAAAGCAAGAAAGAAGTCGGAATAGAGCGGAAAAATTCTGTTTGTTTTGTTTTCACCGAACTATAACTAGATTTGAGGCGGAGGGGGTATGGCGGCAAAAGCCAATACCCTCCACCTCAAAATTCTAAGTTATAGTCCGGTGAAAACAGAACCAAACAGCATTTTTCCGCTCTATTCCGACTTTTCTGTGGCTTTGAAGATGTTCCATTTCAGCGACTTTTTATGTATCAACAAGTTTCCGAAGCGACCGAACTAGGCAAACTAGAGATCATCGCCTTCTCTTCAATAAACTTAATTAATCTTGGTTGTTAGATGGATCTCTCTGGGTGGATCGCCGTATCCTCGCAATCCTCGCAATCGCTAGGGCCGGCGCTGATCCATAACCATCCGCTCCCTTGACGCGGCGATGCCCTCGGATTGCCTAGACTCTGCGCGCAGATACTCCTACAGTCGCATAGTATGAACGCAGACTTGCGCACTTGAGTTTGCTGTACAACAAATTAGCTCAGGGGTAGTTCGATATTATCATTTAATTTTGTGTTCATGACTTCAGTGACCCAGATAGAAGTTATGATTTTCCGATATACAGTTCGCTTTTTCAGGTTTTGTGGCCGCATCTGCCGTAAATCCGATATGGCTTTGGTGAAAACGAGGTTACAACTGTACCAAGGGAAGAGCACCATACTGAACATGATTCGCCGAGTTTATAAACGCGAGGGTATCAAGGGATTTTATAAGGTATTTTTATCGTAGTCATGTGAGTAAGTTGCTTTTATTGTGTGGTGGTTTAGGGTGTTACTGCCTCATATGCAGGTGTATCGGAAACAATGATACAGTTTGTTATTTACGAACATTTACGTGGCCTTCTTCTTCGTCACCATCTCGCAGAAGGCGATAAGGAGAAAATGGTACTTTTCGCGTGTGCTCTACACTGTTGTATCAGCACGTTTATAAGCTTCTTTTCAGGACTTTTTGAATTTCATGGTGGCTGGAGGTTGTGCAAAGTTTATTGCATGTGTTATTGCATACCCCCCCCCCCCCCCCCCCCCCCCCCCCCCCCCCCCCCCCCCCCCCCCCCCCCCCCCCCCCCCCCCCCCCCCCCCCCCCCCCCCCCCCCCCCCCCCCCCCCCCCCCCCCCCCCCCCCCCCCCCCCCCCCCCCCCCCCCCCCCCCCCCCCCCCCCCCCCCCCCCCCCCCCCCCCCCCCCCCCCCCCCCCCCCCCCCCCCCCCCCCCCCCCCCCCCCCCCCCCCCCCCCCCCCCCCCCCCCCCCCCCCCCCCCCCCCCCCCCCCCCCCCCCCCCCCCCCCCCCCCCCCCCCCCCCCCCCCCCCCCCCCCCCCCCCCCCCCCCCCCCCCCCCCCCCCCCCCCCCCCCCCCCCCCCCCCCCCCCCCCCCCCCCCCCCCCCCCCCCCCCCCCCCCCCCCCCCCCCCCCCCCCCCCCCCCCCCCCCCCCCCCCCCCCCCCCCCCCCCCCCCCCCCCCCCCCCCCCCCCCCCCCCCCCCCCCCCCCCCCCCCCCCCCCCCCCCCCCCCCCCCCCCCCCCCCCCCCCCCCCCCCCCCCCCCCCCCCCCCCCCCCCCCCCCCCCCCCCCCCCCCCCCCCCCCCCCCCCCCCCCCCCCCCCCCCCCCCCCCCCCCCCCCCCCCCCCCCCCCCCCCCCCCCCCCCCCCCCCCCCCCCCCCCCCCCCCCCCCCCCCCCCCCCCCCCCCCCCCCCCCCCCCCCCCCCCCCCCCCCCCCCCCCCCCCCCCCCCCCCCCCCCCCCCCCCCCCCCCCCCCCCCCCCCCCCCCCCCCCCCCCCCCCCCCCCCCCCCCCCCCCCCCCCCCCCCCCCCCCCCCCCCCCCCCCCCCCCCCCCCCCCCCCCCCCCCCCCCCCCCCCCCCCCCCCCCCCCCCCCCCCCCCCCCCCCCCCCCCCCCCCCCCCCCCCCCCCCCCCCCCCCCCCCCCCCCCCCCCCCCCCCCCCCCCCCCCCCCCCCCCCCCCCCCCCCCCCCCCCCCCCCCCCCCCCCCCCCCCCCCCCCCCCCCCCCCCCCCCCCCCCCCCCCCCCCCCCCCCCCCCCCCCCCCCCCCCCCCCCCCCCCCCCCCCCCCCCCCCCCCCCCCCCCCCCCCCCCCCCCCCCCCCCCCCCCCCCCCCCCCCCCCCCCCCCCCCCCCCCCCCCCCCCCCCCCCCCCCCCCCCCCCCCCCCCCCCCCCCCCCCCCCCCCCCCCCCCCCCCCCCCCCCCCCCCCCCCCCCCCCCCCCCCCCCCCCCCCCCCCCCCCCCCCCCCCCCCCCCCCCCCCCCCCCCCCCCCCCCCCCCCCCCCCCCCCCCCCCCCCCCCCCCCCCCCCCCCCCCCCATGGTTAGGTTTTGTTTATCTGCTTTTAAATTATTACTCAATTAGTTTTACGTTTGTTCACCCTCAACTGCTCCACTTTTAGAATCCAGGTCAAATTTCTTTAGGAAATTTTCTCCAGCTAGACCAGCAAAATTACTTCCCAACCGCAATCTTACCCCTTCCCTTCCTCCACCCCCCACCCCCTCCCCAAAGAATCACCTCCTTTGATGCGAAAACGCCGTGTTGACCTTCTGAGGACAAAATTTAGCAAGTTCAGCGATTACAAGTGCTTTGGCAATGACGCCGGGCGTACTTGCGGTTGGTGGGCGCAATATCCGTGTTCAGGGGTCAAGCTACTCCGAGAACGAATTCGGCACTATTGTATTACAACTCCAAGAACTCAGAAAAAAATTTCCGCTGAAACTCTACCTATAGGTGTTATTCGGCGTCGTAATCACGAATACGACGTTCATTTTTGGCACTGGCGCCATGGCGCCGATTTCGCGGTACCACCTTTTTCACCAGAGCTTGTGAAAACTTGCATACTGAGCCCGGGAAAAGTAGTGATTCCTCTCCCGCCAGGCTCAGCCTTAGCAGAGCACAGGTGATCAGTGTACACTACATTGGCGCCGGCGCCAAGAATGAATGTAATATTTGCGATCACGATATCGAATAATCCCCCATACAAGTTTTTATCGCTTTCGGTGAATTAGTAGTAGAATCAAGCGTGATATTTGTGATCAGGATGTTAAGTAACCCTCGCACGCAAGTTTCCATCGATTTTAGTGAGATTATGGCACCAAATGGCGCCAACGGCAAAACTAAGGCACTGTTCAACTGTTACTACATTTTCCGAAAACGGGCCGGATCTTGATCGACTTTTTTCTACGGGGGCAGATTTGGCTGAAAGTTGGGTTCTAGGGGTAATTCGACCTCCTGAACACGAATATCACGTCTGCTCCTCCCGGAACTGCCTGAAGCCCGCGCTACAGGCGCTGGCGCCAAAGTAACTTAGATAACCGAATCCGCTAAAAACTTGTGACCAGGGATAGTTCGACCTCCTGAATACGAATATCACATCCGCTCGAACTGAAACCGCTCGGCGCTTAGCGCCACAAAACAAACACGCCACAGGCGCCGGCGCCAAAGTGCTCTAAATCACTGGCGCCTGTGGCGCGGGCGCCAGGCCAAGTGGATGTAATATTCGGGTTCGAACTACCCCTAAAGTCCAAATTTCAGCCAAATCTACCCCCGTAGAAAAAAGTCGATCAAAATCCGGCCTGTTTTCGCAAAACTGAGGTAGTAATAGTTGAATAGTGCCAAATTAATGTTATTTTATGATCTGAGCACCGAATCCGTGGGCGAAGTTTCGGCGAATTTTTTTTTACTTTTTGCAGTATAATAGTGGAATAGTGTCCAAAATTGCGGCTACGTTCCTGATTCCTTTTTCTGTATTCGCTTAAAGTGATGCCGGTTTTTTAAGAAGTGGTTCGGACAAGACTTCGAGAAGAATCATCTGTGAAGCGAGGATTCTTCCGAACCCTCTACGATCTGTACAAGGAGGGTGGTCGTGCTATGTACCGCGGTTTATCTGTTCAGGTATGATGGAGGCTATTTTCTTTTTTCCCCAAGGCTCTGTGATTTTCTTTCGGTACGTGTCGTGCTCAGATTCATGTGGCGTCGGTCGGCGATTTGAGCAGCGTCAAGTTTTCATTCCCTTCTAAATGACATGTTGCCAAGTTTTTCTTTTCTCCGTGGCAGCTGATGCGTACGGTCCCAAATACTGCAATCACCATGGGGACATACGAAGTCGTCGTGTACATGTTGCATCAGCTGTGAGCGGTCCAGCGCCGATCGAACACTTTTTCTTAAGTTCCCACTTCTCACAGCCCGTGTTTGTACAGTGTTTGTTATGGAAGTTGTCTTTCTTGTAATTTATTAGATGTGTCTTCTTGATTCTAATTGACCTCAACTATTTGAGCGTCGGTGCTTCGCGACGTGAGGTTGTTATCTGTTCTCAGACAGTTTTTCGAGTTATTGTATCTTATATTTGTACAGTGATTTACTAAAATGTTTTAGATTTTCACGTTGGTTGTATTGCTTTCACTGATTAGAACACCGAGAGAGAATCGAGTCAGTTTCAGTTGCCTTTCAATGTTGAGTTTGCTTAGCATGCATACACCTTCCCGATGACTTCTTATACATATTTGTTCAAAATTTGTTATTATTGTAACTTTTATAGTTGCTTTTCTTTCAAATGTCAAATTTAATCGTGTAGAGAGATGCTAATATTTTCCCTATGAGTCATTTTTGTTTACAGGTATGTTGACGCTGCGCTTATGTTATGCCTTGTGCTCAAACATTCTGTTTAAGCTTTTCTGATTTGTATTCTGTTAATTTCACCCTTAGGCACCATTTTGTCGATACCTTTGTTTATAACTAGGGATAAAATTATAAAGGAGAGTAATATGGAAATCTGTGTGAAAACTAATGATATTTTATTCAAAGTAGGTGCCCTCTATATCCCAGAGATGGGAAGGCTTGGCTGCGTACTTCATTTTGAGCGTGGCGGCGGCGGGCTTCTGATGGGGTGTTTTGGTTTGCGATAACTGTAATCACATTCCTGTTCGGCAAATAAAGGATCAAATGTGCTCAGTAGGTGGGCTCTGCAGTCGTTTATTGAGGACTGCTCGATCGAGGCGGTTCGTGGTAGAATGCTCGCCTGCCACGCGGGCGGCCCGGGTTCTATTCCCGCCCGATGCACCAGAAAATGTGACGGTAGTCGTTGTAGTAATATATTTATTGAGGCGGGGTGGCCTCGGTGATAGTGGTGGGTCCGAGACGGGGTGGTCTCGGACCGTCAGGTAGTAGAATGCTCACTTAATCTAGGCGTGCCTCTCAATACAGGAGTGGTTACGCATCGAGTATCTGACCGTTCACCTATGGGTCATAATTACATCTCAGTATTGTCTGTGGGTTATACTATCAATCAGTCAGTTATAAAAGGATGCGCCGGCAGGTTCTGGTGGCAATTCAGAACAGATCACAATTATCTGAAATGGAAATATCCTATGAAAACGGATTGTACACTTTAAACAAGTACGCTACAACGTCCACCCCATCTCCGGATAATTTTTGAAAGCAGCTCGATGTGGAATACATTGTTAGGATTGGAAATCGGGGATCACATCCTTGCGTATAACACAACGGTGGTCGTACAGTCGTCATCATTGCGGACCGGTGGGGCGTGTCAGCGTGTGTGCACACTGTTGAAGCCGTTCTAAGCCTTTTTGTGAAATACGGGTATGCGAGAAAAGTAGTAGAATAACGGAAGTAATTACGGAGGATGTAATACAGTCATATCATTTGCTCGCTTTAAATACTGGTGGAGAGCCTGTTTGGCACCGCGCCAAACGCAGCCGCACTGAATCGCCCCGACAGTACGTAATGATGAGGACTGTATGTAGTCGGACAGAGAAAGGCCGTTTTTTTTCATTTGAGAACATTTTTACTGACAGCTGCTTTTTCTCTTTCTCACGCACTATGTATATATCACTTTCAATTTAAACCAGACATTTTTCAGACAATTAGGACACTTCCGAATGAAATCGGACACATCCTTACGCTAGTAGTTGGTAACTAGATCACACTAGATACTGCAACAAGCCCGCCGCAATATGCCCGACCATTTTTCAGCGTGATCATTATTTATCAGAA